ATCGCCAAAACATCAAAAGGTGAACGAAAAACCACTCGGAGGCTAGTGTAGGCGCGAGTCACCAATTGGTGGCTCGCATCCATGCGAGCCACCAAATGGTGACTCGCACCCATGCGAGCCACCAAATGGTGACTCGCATAGTTCCGAGCCACCAGAACTCTTATTGAATACAAAACCTCCCCAAACACGGATTTCGATGATTTTTAAGGATTCTTTCATCCCAGAACCTCTCCAACTGTTTTAAGGTTATCCCTAGACGCGTTTAAGTGGTTATTAACTACAGATAACGTTTAAACATCAATTCTTATCCAAAGACACATCTACAAAAGCCTATAAATAGAAGCCTAGGGTCTTCTTTCAAGAGGATCTGATGTTAAGAAGGCGAGGTGCTGTTAAATTGTCTAGCTAACCATGAATTTCAGAGAAGAATCATCAGATTTTGGCGAACACTTTCATAAAGAAAGCCCCCTTCGAAAGGTTTGTGATTCTTTCCCCTTCTTTCCTCTGGATTAAACTTGGTTTTAATCTCGAGAAGAGCCACAATCTCGCTTGGTCGTGATTGTCGCTTCCGCAATTGTTTCCTTCGTGAAACAAGAGCATAGTTATACTGTCAATCGGGTTTGATCTGTGGCGGTCCATGGACTAGCGTGTCCCCGGCACAGGCAAAGATCCCACACAAAGCAGCGGGAGATAAACTACTACTACGTTTTGTTTGATAAAGTTGTAATCTTTATTTTTCGTTGTAAGAAGATCTTATAAAAAGATCAACTTTTCTTTCAGTTTGAACTTGTAATCGATAAATGGTGTAACAGGTTTAATAGCAATGGAAAAGGCAACTTTTGACTCAAACAGTTGTGTCCCGTACAAAGTAGAATAAATCGACGACAACGGACTCAATCCACAACAAGTCGAGAACCCGAACGAGAGCTTAAACAATCTCCCCCCCATCAAAATCAACAAATCCAATCAGCTGTATCGAAAAGACTGCCTATGTATCCAAAGGCCCTTAATATTGAAGAATGTTCAATAGCTTCAAACAATGACCAAATTTCACACCTGAAATAACTTTGGTTAACATATCCGTAGGGTTGTCCTTCGTATGGATCTTCTCCAATATGACATCTACATCATCCAAAACATCACAAACAAAGTGGAATCTGACATCAATATGGTTCGTGCTTGTATGATAAATCTGGGTCTTCGCCAAATAGATAGCCGACATGCTATCATAATATACCCGAATGGTCTTCTGTGCAATCCCCAAGTCCTCCAACAATCCATGTAACCACAAAGCTTTCATAACAGCTTCAGTCACTGTTATATACTCCGCCTCTGAAGTAGAGAGAGTCAATATAGACTGAAGTGTACATCTCTAACAAATCGATGCTCCTGCCAAAGAAAAAACATATCCTGAATTAGACCGACGCTTGTCAAGATCCCCAGCATAATCTAAATCCACATAACCAATATAATTCTGTCCATTCTTTTCATTCTTCTGAAAAAATCAAACCAACAATGATGGTGCCTTTAACATACAGTAGTATCCACTTCACGGCCTCCCAATGACCCTTCCTGGGGTCGTGTATGTACCTCGATACCATGCGCACGGCCTGTGACAAATCTAGACTCGTACGTACTATCACATATATCAAGCTACCCACCACACTGGCATATAAAACCTTTGATATATAATCTCTATCCTCAACCGAAATAGGAGACATCAAAGCTGAAAGCCTAAAGTGGGGAGCCAATAGAGTACTCACAGCCTTTGCATTGCCATCAAAGCTGAATTTTTTCAACATCTTCTGCAACTCATTTGTGTAAGCTTCAATATCCCCTTCACCCTGTCTCTCTCGATCTTCATATCCAATATCTTCTTAGCTTCTCCAAGATCCTTCATCTCAAACTCCGATGACAGCTCATTTTTTAACTTTTGAATAGCCAAAGAATTCTTGGAAGCAATAAGCATATCATTAACATATAATAACAAATAAATATACTCACCATCCTGTAGCTTGTGTATGCAAACACATGGGTCATATAGGCTCCTCGTGTATCCATGGCCAATCATGAAGTTGCCGAATCTTTTGTACTACTGTCGTGACGATTGCTTCAAACCATAAAGAGACTTCTTCAGCTTGTACACCAAATCTTCATTTCCTGCAGATTTGAATCCTAAGGATTATGTCATGTACATCTCTTCATCTAAATATCCATGTAGAAAGGCTGTCTTAACATCCATCTGGACCAAATCTAAATCCAGCTGTGCCACCAATGCCAATAAAATCTGAATCGATGAATGCTTTACAATGGGTAAAAATACCTTGTTGTAATCAATGCCTTCAAGCTGTAGATATCCCTTAGAAACCAATCTGGCTTTGTACCCAATGTCCCTAATAGAAGATCCATCTTTCTTCGCATATACCCACTTGTAACCAATAGCTTTCTTTCCCTTAGGTAGCTTTACAAGTTCCCAAGTGTCGTTCTTCTGAAGAGACAACATCTCTTCCTCCATAGATTCCCTCCACCTGATCGAATCAGAGCTAGACTCTACAATCCTAAATGTAGAAGGAATCATATCATCAACAACCTCCACTGATAAAGCATATGCAATCATGACATCAGTAATCTCCTGATCTTCCTGATTTTGGTATGGATTTCTAGTAATCAGATTGAGTAAGGTTTGGAATTCAGTCTCAGTAATCTCCTGAGTTATTTCCTAAAATTCTCCATAACTGCATATTGCACATTACTCATGAATATCCATGTGGTGACATGTTCAGGTGCAAACTTCATCACTCTTCTGCATTATTCTGTTCACTACTATTTTTCCAGTGGTTAATTAAGCATGTAATAGATGCAACAAAATCATTATCATTATTAATCGTTGACAACACTTTACCTGCAACATCTTTGTTAGCAGAGGGTCTATAATATGATTTGAGAGTGCTTTCCATTTTCGCCGCAGCACCCTCTTGTTTGTCATATTTCCTCTTTCTTCAACTCTCTCTCCTCGTTCTCCCATAACTGTCGCCGCCTCATTCAAAGACCAGTTCCTTTGGCTAAAACAACCATCTCCTAAAGTCATACTGGAGTTAACAATTAAAGTTCATATTTAAGTTTTACAGTTAACATCTAGTTGAATCTTAATAGATCGATGTTAACTATATGAATTAGGTACTAAGTTTAACATGTAGATGTTAATTATATGACTTAGGTGTTAAGATTAATAGATTGATGATAAATGTATGACATAACTATTAAGTTTAATAGATACATATTATTTATATGAATTAGCTATTAAGTTTAATAGATTGGTGTTAGATATATAAATTAATAGCTACTCCGTATAGTTGACATCTAATTCCTAAGTTATTATGTAACTTGGATCCATTAACAGCTAAAGTTTAAAATTAACATTTATTTGTAAAGTTATCATCTATTGTCAAAGATTAACAAGTGTGAAGCTTCGGTGTTAACTTTAAATGTTCACGTGTTGACTTTTGCGTAACTTTAGGAGATGACTGTTTTAGCCAAACGAAATAACCGTCAAGAGATGCGACATTGGTTATTGTCACGCCCCTAGCCTTCAAGCCCGTGGGTGTGATGTAAGCCTCGAGATCTACTGAGTGAAACAATATAACTTCCCAGAAGGTAACCCGTCCTGGTACTAATCTCGCATAAGCACGCTTAAATGCGAAGTTGTTCAGCTAATCAACTGCCAAAAAATGGTTAACCATGTTGCACTTGTCTCCCTAGACTTACAATTTGAACCAAGTAATGTCCTCACACAATCGATATGGGACTATTAGTAGGGGCGTGTCATTTAATACACCTTTTTAAATTCACGGGTTCTATAGGTGAATCCCATTGTTTTTGTGCGATGTAGCACTTAGTCCTGCTTAGCACTTAGTTTCAAACTTCTAGCTAGCTAACTTCTTTGATACCATCTTGTCACGCCCTAAGCCTGCAACCCGATCGACGCAATATAAGCCCTAGAATCCATTGAGTGTGACACTGGTAATCTTACATAAGCATGCTTAACTAATCAACTGTTGAAAAATAGTTAACCATTTTTGCACTTGATTCCCTAAGCTTACTATTTAAAATAATCAATATGTTCTCACACAGTCAATGTGTAAGACTATCAGTAGGGGGGTGACAGTTGTGGAAGGAGGAGATGGAGATAGACGAGGAGGAGAGGAAGGTGGAAGTGAACGGGTGTGACAGTTGTGGAAGGAGGAGATGGAGATAGACGAGGAGGAGAGGAAGGTGGAAGTGAAACGAAAGAGGAGGGAGGGAATGGGAGGAAAGTAGAGATGAGATGGAGGAGAAAGGAGGGTGAGTGGAAGAGGAAGGAAGGGGGCATAGGAGGATGGATGAGGATGGCGTTGAAATGTTAGAGAAAGGAACACTAGTAGAAAATCACCTATTCTAGACCGAGTATTCTAGACGGAATTTTTTCCGTCTAGAATGTATTAAACTAGACGGAAATTTTCCGTCTAGAATAAAATATTATAGACGGAAAATTCCGTCTATAATAGTATCCTAGACGGTTCTTTTATTTTTTATTTTTTTTTGAAAAATAACCAGGTATTCTAGACGAAAATTTCCGTCTATAATACATCCTAAACGGAAATTTCCGTCTAGAATAACTGACCATTAAAAAAACCCGTCAAAACTCCAGCCGCCCTCCTTTCCCCCCAAAATCGGAATTTTCATTCCTAAAATCTAAATTTTCAGGAACACCCCGCCTCATCCCCCAAATCTTCAACTCCAAGCTCCTACTCCTCCCTCCACAGCCTCCCCCTCCCCTCCCTCTCCCTCCTCAACCTCACCCTATGGCCAACTCTGAGTCCCCCATGGCCACAGAATCCCAACCCCAAAACCCTAACCCTAACCCCAAACCCCAATTACCCTCTCCCCCCACCCACGGTCACGTCAAGACCCACGATGCTGCCTTTTGGCGTCGCGACTAGGTACTCCGATGGCCGCAGGAAGTTCAAGAAGTCCTCGTCGTCCCATGCCGAGCAAGCTGTCGACGCTGCTCCGAAGGTTTCGAAGCAGTCAAAGGTGCCGAATTTGTGAGATTTGATGGAGGTTTACTTTCGCCCAATCACTGAAGCTGATATTGAGAGTCTGAGACCTAGAGGTTTGCTTGATTCCTTTGATTCTTGCTTTTCAATTCCTGTTCTTGATAGTTTTTTAGAATTGGAGAAGAAAGATGCTATATTTAGTGGGAGTGAAGTGGGGGTGAGTTCAGAGGTAGTGAAAGAAGAGGAGGATGAGGAGGAGAAACCTATGGAAATAGACAGTGTTGGGGGCTTAAGTACCGCTGAAACTAGTACATTGCCCATTCCAGAAGGATGAGGATGCGAATGAGGATGAAAGCTCATCTATGAATTGGGTTTTGGGTTCGAAGCATAGAGAAATTCTCACTACACTGCGGCCTACAAAGAAGCGAAAACTACTGGGAAGTGATGCTGGCCTAGACCAGTTATTGGTACTTCCGCACTCTGAGAGGGTTCTGCTCGCTGTCATGTTTGTTGTTTAGGGGAGAGTGGAGGAAAATCGAACAAAATTATTTCGTGTAGTTCATGTGGTGAGCTGAAATACAGTAATTTAAAATTTTTAACTCAGCTGCTGTGCATTTGTAAAATGCTTTGCTTAAAGCATTATTTGGCCTACTCCAGTGCAAGGATCCCAAGGCTAAATTACTTCCAGGAACAGCAGTCCAGTACTCTGGTGAGCACCGACCTAGTACTATCAAGATCTCCTCGATCTATAAGGCAAATATCTCCTCGATCTATCAGGCAAAAAGATCTCCTCAATCTATCAGGCAAAGATCTCCTCGATCTATCAGACCTTCTCGGTCTAGGTACTGTTCCTACGAGCACTAGCTATTTTACAATCTATATCTGTATATATTGATTGTTGTTTTTGGAATAAAATTTCCTTAAGGATTTGAGATCTATTTATAGTATTTGGAAAAACACTATACACTAATAAAATAATATATTTTACTATACATGTGGGGCCCACATCCTAATTTTTTCTTCGGTAACTTATCTATGGTAGTTTTTACTTTGAACCACACTTGCCGTTGCCTTTTCCTTTACCTTGCCTTTGCCTTTGCCTTTGTACATTTATGGCCCTGTGCATGTTCTGGTTTCTGCTAGAGCTCTAGGTATCTTTCCACAAGACACCATAGGAGACAGCCAAATTTCCACCCATGTATAGGTGAGTTCTTTAGGCATGTTTCCTATCAAACATCCCGCATCCGAAATACTTTGAACTCATTAAGGCTTAAGAGCCATCCTCTCTCATTATAGGATTCTAGGTGAAAAGATCAAAGTTTTACTCGGGTAGCTCAGCCAGGTAAGGATAGTATTAGAGGTTGATCAAAGATCAATTAAGTACATCGTTCCTTACGGAGCGCGTTACGCAACCCCCAAACATTGCCATAGACACCGACTAATCCAAGAAAACTTGAACCTTTTTCACTTGTAAATCTTACTTGACTTTTGAACTATTTATCTTATCATTAGTAGCATAAGCTTTGAACTAATAACTAGATGTAAATAGTAAGTATTTGTAAGACTCACCAAACTTTGTAAATCTTACTTGACTTTTGAACCAAATATCTTATCATTAGTAGCATAAGCTTTAAACTAAAAATTTGATATAAATGGTAAGTATTTGTAAAACTTACAAAACTTTGAGACCCATTCCAGCAGACATTCTTTCGACTATGTCCTTTTTCAGACCCTTAGTCAAAAGATCAGCCACATTCTTTGAAGATCGGACGTCCATCACAGAGATGACTCCTTGACAAATGAGCTCTCTCAAATAGCCATGCTTCAGATGAATGGTCCGCTTCTTTTCATTGAACAACGAGTTTGTTGCCACAGCACTCGCCGCCTGATTATCATAATAGATAGTAATTGCACCTTACAATCCTGTTAATGGAAAGTCTCGGAGAATACAATTGAGCCACTCGGCTTCATCTCCTGCAGCACATAGTGCGAAGAACTCAGATTCTATCGATGACTGTACAATCATAGTCTGCTTCTTAGACTTCCATGAGACGGCAGCTCCACCCATAGTGAAGACAAATCCTCTAGTAGATCTGCACTCATCTGGTTCTGAGCACCAGCTCACATCTGAATAGCCTTCGATTACACCTGGATATCCAGTATAGAATAGGCCCAGACCTATAGTTCCTTTTAAGTATCTCATCAATCTATGGACAACATCCCAACAAAACTTTCCAGGATTACTTGTGAATCTACTAAGCATTCCTACAGCGAATGCAATATCTGGCCTTGTGCAGCTCATTGCGTACATGCGACTCCCAATGATCTTTGAGTACCTTAGCAACTCTACTTGTCTTCTGGTATTCGGTCGAAGCTTCTTGTTGCAATCATACGGCACTGAAAGTTCTGGCAGGTCATAGTAGCCATACTTTCTTAGCATGCTCTCGACATAATGAGATTGGGACAATCCAATACCCTCTTCAGAGTATATGATTTTGATTCCGAGAATTACGTCCGCAGTTCCAAGGTCATTCATACTGAACTGTGCTGAAAGAAATTTCTTGGTAGATATTACTATCTCCAAATCACTCCCGATGATGAGTATATCATCCACATAGAGGCAGATGATCACCACCTTTCCTTCAGTGACCTTGATGTATAGGCACTTGTCAGATTCACTGACTTGATACCAATTGTTGCGAACAACGCCATCAAACTTCTCATGCCAGAGTTTTGATGCCTGCTTAAGTCCATATAATGACTTAACAAGTTTACAAACCTTATCAGGTGGAGCATCAAGTCCTTCTGGTTTCTTCATGTAGATTTCTTCTGTGATATCTCCATTAAGAAATGCAGTCTTCACATCCATCTGATGTATGACGAACCTTTTAATCATGGCCCATGCGATAAGCACTCTGATGGTAGTGATCCTGCAAACTGGTGCATAAATATCAAAGAAGTCTATACCTTCTTTCTGAGAGAATCTTTTTGCCACCAGTATTGCTTTGTAATTTTCAATAGTACCATCAGAACGGAGCTTCTTCTTGAAGAACCACTTGCAGCTGATAGGCCTTGCACCTTCAGGTACATCCACCAGCTCCCAAGTGTGATTTTTATTTAATGAATCCATCTCATCATCTATAGCTTCTTTCCACAGAAGAACGCCTGTTGACTGTATTGCTTCTTGTAAAGACTGTGGATCTCCTTCTATATTATAGGTGATGAAGTCATCTCCAAAATCTTTTTGTCTTCTGACGCGCTTGGAAGATGGTTCGATAACTACTTCATCATTGACTGGCTCCTCTTGTGCATCTGATGTACTAGCATTCTCTACAATATCTTTGAGTAATAAGCCTTTATGTTTTATAAACTTATCCTCAAAGAATTCTGCATCCCGAGCTTCAATGATGGAGTTGGTTCTAAGGTCCAGGAATCTGCACGCATTGCTATCTCCAGCAAAGCCAAAAACACACATCTGTTTGCCTTTGGTCCGAGCTTAGGCCTTCTGATATCTGGAATTCGAACATATGCGAGACACCCCCACACTTTGAGACTATCCAAAGAATCTGGATATCCCAACCATAACTGATGATGAGTACTATCAGTTTTGGAATAGGGTACTCTGTTTAGAATCCAATTTGCTATCAGCAAAGCCTCTCCCCAATAGCAGGTAGGTAGACCAGATGTGATTAGCATCGAATTCACCATCTCGGTCAATATGCGATTCTTTATTTCTGCAATCCCATTAGATTCCGGGGAATACGGAGCAGTAGTTTCAGCAATGATTCCATGCTCCATGAAGTATGCTTCTGATTTCTTAGATCGGTACTCTCCTCCTCTGTCGCTCCTGAGTCTTTTCACCTGAAGTCCAAGCTACTTCTCCACTCGAGTCCGAAACTCGACAAATTTGCTGAAGGCTTCATCTTTAGATTTCAGCAGGTAAACGTGACAGAAGCGAGAATAATCGTCAATGAAGGTGATGAAGTACTTCTTGCCGCCACGAGTGATGAAGCTCTTAAAGTCACAAGTATCTGAATGAATCAGATCCACCAGGTTGGTGCTCCTCGTGACACTTGAAAATGGCTTCCTCTTCAGCTTTGTTTGCGCGCAAACTTCACACTTCTCAGGTTTGTTACCCCCATATTTTGGAAGTAATCCCAACTTCTCCATGCTGGATAATTTTCTATAATTTACATATCCCAGCCTATTGCGCCATAACACAGAGGAGTAAGCAGAAAAGGATACTTCATTTATAACGGGGTTGGGTGCACTCGTACTGATTTTATACATGCCATCAGTACGATATGCATTACCAAAATATATTTTCTTGAAGGATAATACAATCTTTCCTCCTTGGAAATCCAGTCTCATGCCTGCATCACACAGCATGCTTCCAGAGACTAAGTTTTTGGCAATTGAGGGGACGTGTTTCACATCCTTCAATGTGAGAGTCTTTCCCGAAGAAAGAGTCAGCACCATAGTCCCAGTTTCAAGAACAGGAACCACAGAACAATCAGCCATTGATACGTTCTCTTTGGTAGCAACATAAGAAGAGAACATATCTCTATTGGAGCATACATGACAAGTAGCACCCGTATCTAACCAGAGAACATATCTCTATTGGAGCATACATGACAAGTAGCACCCGTATCTAACCACCAACTAGAGATGTTGTTTGGAGTTGTTACCTAGAATAGCATGGCCACACAATCATCAACTTGATTGACATTGTGTGTTGTTTCCTTCTTTGGTGCTCTACAGTCTCTGGCAAAATGTCCTTGCTTTCCACAGTTGAAGCATTTTCCGCTCTTCTTGAACTCCTTCTTCCGAACGTTCAGTTTCTTCAGATTCTGGTTCTTCTTTCTGTTAAAAGACTTCTTCTTCTTGAAAGATGAAATTATTATCCTTTTCAGGTTTAGCAGCCACTATGTTAGCAGACGCCTTCTGCTTAGCAATGAGCTCAATCTTCGTGCGAGTCCGAGTCTCATCCTCGATCCGAATGAACCTCTTCAAGTCAGATAGAGTCACCTGTCTTTTCCTTCTTCTAATATCAGTGGAGAATGATATCCAAGATGGAGGAAGCTTGTTGACAATTGCACCAGAGATGAATGTTTGACAAAGACTAATCTTTTCATCCTTCAGCTTCATAACAAGTTTTTCAAGCTCATTGACTTGAGGTAAAACCTCAGTATCATCTTCGAACTTTAAGTCTAGAAATTTGTCAATGAGGTGAGATTTGGACAGCTTCTCCTCATCCTTGTACTGGTCCTCCAGAGCATTCCAGATCTCCTTTGCAGAGGACTTGTTGGTGTAAGCATCTGCTAGATGATCGGCCAGACAGTTAAGGAGATAACTCCTGCAAAAATGATCATCTCTAGCCCAAGAAGCTTCAGCTTCAGAGTCTTCTTCAGAGTCGGGTTTTTCCTCAGAAACTACATAGTAGATTTTTAGGAGTTGCATTTTTCAGATGATGTTAGGCTAAGGTCATGGTCATGGGACCCACATAAATTTATTTTAAAAAATTATATCCAACAGTGCTTTGATTCATAAGATGTGTTATGGGATTCATGAAGTTGTTGATGAGAAGTGGGTGTGTTCTTGGTGTAAGCACGTGGAGGAAACGTGGGATGATAAGAGAGGAAACGAATGTTTGAGGCCTCGCATTCTCTGCCCGAAGGAAGGTGGTGCTCTGAAACCAGTTGGCGGGGATCTTAACAATGAAGGGAAAAAGAAGTTTGCACACTTGTTCTGCAGTCTATGGACACCTCATGTCTATGTGGAGGATACTAAGACGATGGAGCCAGCTGTGAATATTGTGGATGTTAGGGAGATGAAGACAAAGATGGTTTGTAACGTGTGCAAGGTGAAACATGGTGTGTGTGTCCGTTGTAGCTCCGGTAAGTTTCTGTTGACTGCTCTCCTTTTGCCATACCATTAGAAAGATTAGAGGTCCATTGTTATCAACATGGTGTAGGTACATTCATCTTGATGTGTTGCAGCACGCAAATTTTTGTTAAAATTTGCTGCCACGAATGCATTATACCTTTGGTTTTGATGCTACAATGTTTTTATACTTTCTTTTGTAAGATATAATCCTTAAGTTCAAGGTCAAATCCCTTTTTTATGTGCTAGGCGTTATTTTAGTGCTTGATGCTTAAAACCAAGTCTGTCATTGTGATTTTTATGCTCTAGCAACAAGCTTGAAGAAAATCTTCACCCTAATCTTCAGGTTGTCATATTTCTGTTTCCAACCTTAAGCACATTGCCTAGAGTTTGGATGCCATTCATGAATCAATGTTCCGTTCATGAACTCCCATGACATGTTTGCTCTTCAGTTTTCTACTTCATTTTTCTCACCTCATGGCCAACTACTCTGAGTCCCCCATGGCCACGGAATCCCAATTTTTGATGATGTAATAGTGTTTGTATGGTTTAACTTCAGGCAGCTTCTGTATGAGGGTTTATATGAAGTGTTATACTCTTTTCTTGTTTCATGAACTGTGGCACTCTTATTTGAAGATGTGGTAACCTGATTGGCTGATGTAGATTTTTTTTTCCTTTCTTTTGAGTATTATTTCTATCGTTAGAACTGGGGCAAAATGAAAATTTTTTGGTTAGATCTTTAAAACAGTTAATGTATGTTGAGATTACTAGCTGCATGTGCGAATCAAAAAATGTGCTGAGAAGTTCATGATCAAGAACATTATATTTATGGGAGATACTATTGCATGCCCTTTGACATGTTGTGATTGTAATCTGCTATTCTAATGGTACAGGATCTGATGCAATCTGCTATTCTAATGGTATGCAGCTACAGCTCAAATTCTTCCTACTGCACCTTATATACCTGTTCGATAAATATATACCAAGTCCATTGAATCTACATGCCTTCTGATTCATCATATTTGACTTTATAATATATTTGCTCTGCTAGTTCTCTCTGATGAGATCTGCTTGTTTTCTTGTTTTAGATTCTGATGACAGGTGTCTTGCGAATTTCCTATGCATCGAGCTAAGAACAACCGATCATCAACCATCAACATACTTAAAATCTTCAACCTGGGTAAACAAAGTAAGTGGCACATGACTCTTAATTTTCCATCACAAGCTGTAAGATATGCCCATATCCTACACTTCGCACTTCTAGGAGATTTGCTTGCAACTACTTTTATCTGTTGACTTGAGCACATGCATGCTAGGTAGAAGTAACAAAAGGACATAGCAGTATTTTTGTTTCTTTTTACCTGAAATCGTGAAACACAACTAAAAAGTCTATAAAGTTAATTCGTGTTTTGAAAGGTAGCTGCAGAGATACTAGACTCTGAATAAAACATTTCAATGTCATCTTGTATTAGAAAGGTAACATATACTCGCTAAATGTGTGATATTTGCCATCGGGATAATGTAAAATCCGGACTTCAGCTAGCTTCAAGTATCTAGATAATTAAATTGCTTTTGTTGTGGATCGATGTTGATCAAGTGGTTCAGTTTTATTTTCAGCTAGAAAGTAGCTAGATAATTAAATTATCTAGCTTCAAGTAGCTAGATAATTAAATTGCTCACCATCTTTTATAAGTGTTCTTTATGGATCAGTTTGTACATATATTGATGCATTGCTTGTGTCCTTATGTTACACTCAGAATGATGAGGAAGAAGGTGAAGATGGAAAAGAACAGGGCTTGAGTAAATGTATAGAGAAGGAGTTGAAGAAGCTTCTGCAGTGTCATAGCCATTGTAAATAATTTATGTAAAAGTTTGTAAACGATTTATGTATCTCTCTACTATTTTGGTGAATGTATTATTTGAATATAATGGGATTTGATATTGGAATATAATCAGATTGTGTTGGATATGAATATAATTTTTTATTGTTCAATATTGTGTACATGCACTCAAAGTAGATTCTGTAAAAAAAAAAACTACTGTAGCATAGCATCCTAGACGGAAATTCCGTCTAGGATGCTCAAATTCCGTCTAGGATACTTGTTTTTTGAAAAAAAATTTTAAAAAAATAAAAAACATCATAGACGAAAATTCCGTCTAGGATGACTATCCTAGACGGAAATTTTCGTCTAGGATACTCATCGTAGACGAAAATTTTTTTCGTCTAGGATGTAGTATTCTAGACGAAAATTCCATTTAGAATAATCCGTCTAGGATATATTCTAGACGGTTTTGAATACCGTCTAGAATAATCCGTCTAGAATGTATTCTAGACGGAATTTTCATCTAGAATACTACATCCTAGACGGAAACATACTAGACGCGTATTCTAGACGGAATTCCGTCTAGTATACGTATTTTAGACGGAATTCTAGGTATCCTAGACGGAATTTTCCGTCTAGGATGCCTCATTATTTAGTAGTGGAAGGAAGAGAATGAATTAGGTGAATGTGAGATGAGGTAGGAGGATGAGCGGAGGAGGGCCGATATTGAAGGGCAGAGAAGAGAGAAGGGTGGGGTGAGAAGGAGGATGAGCGGATGAGGGCTGATATTGAAGGGCAGAGGTGGGAGGGAGTAGAAGGGAGAAGGGTTTGAGTGAGATACATGAGATAGGATGAAGGAGAGCATGTGAATGATATTTTAAGAATGAAAGAAAAATATGGGTTAAATAAGGATTTATCATATGAGTAATTAGGTTTTGGGGCTAAAGCATATGGACCAAAAAGGGAGGGCAGGGCACATGAGTTTTTCATTTTTAGGGTCTAGACTATTCCTTCTTTTTATAAAGAACCTATACTACCTATTCCAATTGAAATATTTGTAATATAATGCATTTTTCCTATTGCCAATATTGTTATTGTTCGTGGAAAAAACAATCACCTAGAAATTTCACTTATTGAAAATTTTGACTTTTTGAGATATCCCCTACCCCCTCGTCAAATCAAATTAGAATGACTGATTTTCTCTTTTGGATTCAAGCTTCCTTGCTACTCTTATTTCTCTCTAAAACATTACAGATAGACCTTAATGGATTCTTTTTAGCTTTTGCTTTTGAAATGAAATCTCATGCTAAATTAACTTTCTCTTGGTGCAAATAATAATAATAATAATTAAAGAGGATATCGTATAATAAAAAAAGATTGCCCCTGAAAATGTAACATAAACTAACTTTTACGTAATGCTTAATTATAATAATATTGTTTGGAATTCAACTAGTTTATGTATATTTTAAAGTTTTGACTAATATGATATTAATGGTACACCATACATGAGCTACTTGTGTGCACAGAGGATACTTAGACATAGGCCGGTCCGGTCCATCTTGGCCGGCCCGGTCCATCTGGGCCGGCCCGGTCAGTCCAACTCGAAAAACCGGGTCCGAGCTGGACAAAACCGGACCCGGACCCGGACCCGAGCCCGGTTGCCCCGGGTCGGGCCCGGGCCCGGGCCTGAGCGCGCCGGGCTTCGGATAAAAGATGATAAAAATAACTTCTTTATTAATAATCAGTAAATCATTTACAAGTATAAATTTATTTCAAAATTCGTCGCATCATAATAGATAAGTACATCCCAACTAGGTTGGCACCTACTCACCTATATCACTATCATTTATAATTGTTTCCAAAATAATTTATTACAAATTAAAGCTAAGAAATAAAAATTATAATTTGATGAATATTGTTTAATCTTTATATCTATCTGTTAGTACCAACTCTTTAAATTTATCTTCAATTCCAGCCATCCGATCGATGCCCTGCATTAGCTTCTCGTACCTTAACCAATATTGTAAACACATCACCGCTTGTATAGTATACGGATTTAAGCATGTCCTATGGTCGTCGATCAAATGTCTTGCTGTGCTGAACGCGGATTCCGAAGCTACCGTCAAAACCTGCACTGTTAGTAAGTCACAAATCATGGTGGAAAGTATAGGATAGAAACTGATCCATATACTCTCCACCATTGCAAAATATCTAAATCATTTTCTTGACATTTAACTAATGATATAGATAAATATTCATCCATTACAGAAACCTCTAATGATGATCCAACTCCAGATCCACCAGTTAGCTCAGCTACCATTGCATACCTATCAAAACTTAAACTTTTTACCTTGGCCTGAGCTCGAAGGCGCTAAAGCTGTAGAATGTGGTGCATCTACACCATGTCTAGATGCATACTCATCATATAAGGTTTAAAAATAATTTCTAATAGCTAAATGATGAGAAGTAGCAGTAAGGATGGATCCATCAGCTAAGTCTATAATCTGTCCACCATACAATGATTGTAATAAATTTCGAAGGCCAATATCCTTCAAACATGGATCAATAAGAACCACCAAACCAAAAATATGAGGAATAGACCAAAAATACTTATTAAATTTGCTCTCCATTTGAAAATTATAGCTCCAAAAATATCATTCATACGATATTTGTTAAAAAAAATTAATATTTAAAATTTATAAAGTAACTAAAGTAATAGTTGGATAATAACAGCTAGATAATAACCATGTAGCATCATAAAAAACCTGTAACATCTCATTTAAATTATATATAATTATCCATTTATTTTTAGTTATTTCATAAGTGCTACCAGAGCTAGAACTAGAAGCATAATAATTTATAAAATTATTTATATTTTTTTATATCCTATTGCCACACTTAACATTGCATAGGTGAAATTCCACCTATGGTCAACATCTTTTGGAAGTAGTCTGGACTTATAATTTTTTTACAAAATTGTTTTCATATTTTAATTATTTGTTTAGAAGCATTATGCATATTAGCAACTATTCTAACTTTTTCTATTCATGGGTTTAATTTCAGTAAATGCACTTTGAATAATTAAATTTAAAATATGACAGATACATCTAATATGAAAAAGATCACTATGACATGGCAATGAAAAAGTTATTTTGATAAAATAAATAGCTACATTGTTATTACTTGCATTATCTAGTGAAACAAAAAATATTCTTTGATCAATTTCTAGTTTCATAAGTTCTTCAATTATTAAATTTGCAATATTAATATCAGTATATGACTCTTCAATTGTAATAAAGAAAATAGTAAACATTTGCCAATTTTTATCAATCCAGTGTGCCGTGACATATAAATAACCAGTTTATGATCTAGATGTCCAAATATCAGAAGTTAAAGAAAATTTATAGTTTAAATTTTTAAAATAAGAAATTATTTTGAAGTTAAAGAAAATTTATAGTTTAAATTTTTAAAATAAGAAATTATTTTTCCTTGTTCCTCCTGATAATGTTTTAAAATATCACGTTATTTTTAAAATAAGAAATTATTTTTCCTTGTTCCTCCTGATAATGTTTTAAAATATCACGTTGACAGGTTCAACGAGAAAATTTTTTAAATATGAGATAAAAACCATCTCTAAATATATCTTCAAATTCATCATCTTCTACTAATTTAAAATAAAGGTTTTA